CCCCAAAACCCCAAAACCCCTTGATAGTATTATATTAACATTAATGAAAGATAAAATGATATAATTATAAATCCAAATTACTTTATAATACTGATGGAAATAACTGATTCAACTCTTGCAACTATAGAAAAGTATTTAGATCTGCCAAATGACAAAACCTAAAAATCTTGAAAGGAAATTTGTGAGGAAATAGAGAAGAAATTGAAACTGAATTAAAATGACTTGATAAAGCAGTCAGTAAGGGAAAGCTTTTCAACTAACAAATTGCTGTTCTACAACTTTTTCGATTCACTTTACAAACGAGCTAAGCACATAGACTATCAGCCTGCCGACTAGAGTGATGGCAAGTATTGTGTCGAAAGCCATTATCAGAATCTGATAGATTTTAACATTATTTCAAAAGATATGCTAATGAACTCAATTGATTAGAGTAACAATACACATTTGAGAGTCGATGACAAATCGCCTTTATTTCCAACTGAATTGAATAAAAGTGTGGTTTCTTTCAAAGACTAGCCTTAGCTTAGGCAATCGAAATCGACTAGTCCTGAATTCATAAACAGAGGGTTTACTCTGGTTAAGATGTCGCAGACTCAATAGGATTCGAGTATCAAAGCTCAATCACCATATGCTCAGGAATCTAGTTATCTGCTCAGCAGTAAAAAATAGTCCCCTCTTTAGAAAATCCCTGAATAAAATGAAGATGAATTAAAGAAGCATCCCCTGGAAACAGATATGATGATAAAAGCAGACATGAAGCTGTAAAAATAGTCTTTTTCTTCGAAGTACAACATAATAAACCTAGTCAAGAGCTTCTTCTCTGAAGATCTCTTCAAAGCCATAGTAAAGACCATCTCAGATGAAGTCATTGAAAGATTTGAACTGAAGACCTAACGACAAAAAGAGTTCATTGACAAGTTCAATGAAACTATAGATGGAGCCAAGCGACAGCAAAACACGCTTCAAAAGATGCTCTAGGAGAAAAGAGCAAAAGTCGTAATTGACCCTCAGAAGTTGGTCGAAAGAGTGCAGGTGCTCTAAGACAAACTAGAAAAGTAGAGTAAAGACTACTATCAAGAGCTGGATATTTACCGAGCTCAGTTCAGGAAGTCACAGACGAACGGGATCTAGAAGGAGCTGAGGAATTTCTTCGAAGTAAGGTTGTTTGACGAAACTGACCAGATACCTCCTGATTATATTCAGCTAATGAACTAGAAAATAGGGGACATATAAAATCAGTATTCGCAGTATGTGCAGACATAGCTTGAGACTCAAAAGGTGCTGCTGCTTAAGCTAAACGCATATGAAAGACTTAAGCCTGAGCAGTTCTTCCTGACAGATTTCACGATAGATGAGATAATTGAGGCACTGCCAGCACTAGAGATAAACCCACAAAGGATATGGGATTTGATTGAGAAACACTACAAACCCAACTTCTTCGAAAATGTCATATTCAAGAAGTACGGGTACCTATTTGAAAACAAAAATTAAGCTGAGTTTATGGATTAGATGGGATTGATTCGTGAGGAAGTGCTAATAGAGATGTAGCAACTATCGAACTCCTACGAGAATAAACTTAAGCAGATTAAGAAGGAGAACTCTGAGAAGCTGGTGGAGGTTTACGATTTGAGAGACAAATACTACTCCGCCATTGAGTTGACTTAGAAGCAGACTATTGAGAACACTAAGCAGTACTACGAGGAAAGAGAGCTGCAGATATTCCAGCGATGGGAGTTGGAGAGAGCAGGCCTGATGGAGGAGATGAAGGAGCAAGAGAAGCATTATGAGCACTTTGAGGTGCAGATGGCATAGGAGAAGTTCAAGAGTTTTGTGTTCAGGTGGACGACTCTCAACAAAGTCAACAAAATGAAGAAGTTTGACCGAGACTCTTACGAGTACATGAAGGCTAACCTGGAGATACAAGAGATGCTGAAGGTTGATATTGATCTCAGACTAGACATTCTGACTAAAAAGCTCAGAGACGATATTTAGACTTACAAGAAATAGGTATCTGAGTTGCAAGATGAGCTGATTGAGATTAGATTCAAGAACAATAATCTAGAAAGAATACTCAGCTAGAAAGACAAGTTTATAGATGATTTGCGAATGAAGGAGGATTACCTGGCTAACAATCATTCAAATGCCCGCGATTCTATCAAATAACTTGAGAACGATAAGAACCTCCTTGAAAAGGACAACTAAAATCTAAGAATGATGGTTAAATCACTTGAGGACAAGAACTTCCATCTAAGTGAAAAGATATACAAACTGCAGCAGAAGCAGAATTTGTCATTTTTAGACTTGAAGAAGGTGTTTGGACCTGCTGATAAAATCCTAGTTAAGACTAGGCTAATCGATGAAATCAACGAAGCTATTAACAAACTGATGAAAAAGATGAGGAAGCTCACAGGGTTCAAGAATGACACCAGGAACTAGATAGTTGGAACTGAGTTGAGGAATGTCTAAAAGGAGATATGCTACAGACATGACCATGGAGACGGAGTATTAGTAGAGTAAAGTACTTAAGTAGATAGAATATTAGTGATACCGAGAGAGTGCCAGACTGAAGAGATTGTTGTTAAAGAGAGAAATCCTAATAAGATAAAAATTAATAATCTAGAGAACTCTGCTGAAATCAAGAAGAAGAAAAACTTAGTTGATAGCAGGAATAGAAACATTAAGTCACCCAAAGGATAAATTATAAACGCGTCTTCACTAGAGGGGTCATAGCAAAGCTCCTCATAAGTTACTTAGAAAAATACAATATAGCATAAAGATCACAACAAACTGACTGAAAAGATGATAGTCAGCACAAAGCAAATAATTTCCTCTCAAAAATTGGCATCAAGCTTTAATAGCGATTCATTAGGGTATGAAAAGTCTAAAGATAGTAGGTTTTAAAGAAAAAGCACTTTCAGGCCAGACAAGAATGGAACTGGTGAGAATTTATAAAAATATGGCTATAAGAAGCAGCAGAATATGAGAGGAAGCAGGAATAGATAGGGGAATAATGATGACTTAGGAGAGGACTTGATTGGAGATGATGAAGACTAGAATCCCTATATAGTTGATGAGTCTCGAGAATTCAACCAAACTGGCTTAAAGACCAATTTAGATGAGACTGGCCATTTGGAAGGGAGATTTGGGGATGAAAGCAATTTTGATCAAGATAGCTTTAGGCCAAATACTAAGCACAACAGAGATAGTGATTAAAATGAAGAGTAAAGCGATGAAAATGGGTTGGTATAGGATGTCATTATGTAGACGAAATAGGTACCTAAAGTGTTCTCTAGATTATGGCAGCAAAATTAAGACAGGGAGGAAAAAATGAAACTATACCGAGATTAAAGTCGTGAAATCGACAATTAAGAATGGATAAGTCGGATGGCTGGCAATAACTCATTGCAAAAGACATATGAAGGAATGTAGGTATTTAAAGATCCAAGAACCGGTAAATGCTTTGTACACATCGATGAATTGAGACAAAGAGTGCAGCAGAGTGTCAATGATAAACATGAATCAAGAAACGTCCAGCAATATCAATCGAAGACTGAATCGTGGCAAAAAAACCAGCACTAGTACTCAAACTTCATATAGAATGGATAACGAGTGCTGAATACAAATTCACAGCAACTAAATATGTCACTTTACCTCCAATAATAGTCAAGAGATAATCTATTCTTAAATCAAGACTCATCCTTTGATGTATCTCCTAATAGACATGCTTAGCCTACTTCGATTCCAATATCGAGGGGAATAACCTCTCGGAATTTAAAACATCACCACATAACGCAAATTCAGAATGATAAGCAGATATCCATAAATCTCAAACTGAGACCAATGACAAGGACTAACTTTAGTCATTATGAGTCTGAGATACCGACTACTACAAATGATAGATCCACAAGTGCTGATATATATTCTAACACTGATTAAGCTACTCCAATAAAGATCATTTCAACAACACCTTCTCAGTTTGGGATTCTTAAAAGCAAAAATAGGGGGAATGGTGCAATCATTGATGTGGGGCAGATTTCTATAGCTCACTATAAAAAGGAAACTGAGAGCAATGACTTTAATAAAGCAAATAATGCATAAGATTCGCTTCCATTCAGACCAGCTTCAAGCATTCTTTTCAACTTCAAATAATAGAAAATGAACAAGGGTCATTTACCTTCACTAAAGCATGATGGCAGATTGAACTAGAGTAATACTAGTTCTTAAAAATAATATGACACCTTTATTAATCTAAACATGGCTGCAAAGCAAAGTGGGCACAAAGCTTATTAAAATAACAGCCTATTGGAAACCAACACTCAGATTACGAACTCGCTATAGATAAATAAATACTAGAGGTTGAAGAGTTCATCTGGGTATAGAGGGCTAACACAATTGAAAAACTATGGGAGTGAAAGTTATGATAGGCTAAGCAGGGCCAATCAATTGAATTAGTCAAATAAAATGATGCTTTTGGATGATTAAGATACCAGTGTTGCCAGTGCCAGTGCTATTCAAATTGATAGAAATTATTTAGATACTATCCATAATATATGAAAGATCTCTAGTAATAATATTACTTAAATGCTTTGTCTGATTGAATGGAAATTTTAGTTCTTGGGGTTTTGGGGTTTTGGGG